CTCTCAGATGGCGTAGGGGACATTGCTCAGAGCTGGTTATAGTCGCAGTTGTTGGGTGCCCTCAACTTGATTCTCACACATAGTGACCGTCTACAGGAACGAAATACTGCCTAGTCCTGTGCCTTCCTCAACAGTTGGTGCTATGATTTGAGCCCATTGTAGTCATGATATATTTTGTTAAGGGTCTTCCTCTTTTTGTCTGACCTTCTACTTTAACAAGTTGATGTCCTTCTCCAATAATTAGTTCCTCCAAAGTACATGAGACAAGTCTTATCATCCTCCCTTCTAAGAAGCATTCTGTCTATAAAGCCTCCAAGACAGATTTGTTTGTTCTTCTGGCAGTACACAGTATTTTCAGTATTTTTCACCAATGTTATTTAAAGGAGTCCTGGTATGGCACTGCAGGATAATGTGCTGGACTACAAGGTCTGTTTGAACCGCATGGTTGGTGGTTCAAGCTCACCAACTGCTCTTCGGAAAAAAATATGCAGAGTCACTATGAGTCGGAACTTACTCGATGGCACTTAACAACACAATAGTTCTTCCATCTTTCTTTTTCATTGTCCAGCATAGGAGGCAATTGAAAATACCCTGGCTTGAGTCAGATGTGTCTTAGAACTGAAACTGATATCTTTGCTCTGTAACACTTGTTGTTAACTGCCACTGAGCTGATTCCGACCCGTAACGACCCTGTATAGGGTTTCCGAGGAATGGCTGGTGAGCTTGAACGATGGACTTTGCAGTCCAGCACTGTAAGAGGTCTTTTTCAGCCGATATGCCCAGATCCTTTGATTGCTTAATTGCTGCTTCCATGGGTGTTGATTGTGGGTCCAAGTCAAATGAAATCCTTGACAACATCATGATGGTATTTACTGGTCCAGGTGTAAGGTTTTTCATTTTCTTTGTATTGACATGTAGTCCATCCATACAGAAGGCTGTAAACTTTAATCTTCATTAATAAGTGCTACAAGTCCTCTTTGCTTTTATCAAGTAAAGTTGTGTCATTTGTGTGTCAAACAAAAGTTGTTAATAATCCTCCAGTCCTGAAAACAACTTTGCTTTGTATAGTGCAGCCTCGCAGATTTTTTGCTCAGCATACTGATTCAGTAAATACGTTGAAAGGATTACAACGCAGACGCACATCTTTCCTGATTTTAGACCAAGCATTATTGCCTTGTTTTGTTCACATAACTACCTCCTGGACTATGACTCGGTTCCACATGAGCACAGTTAAGTGCTTTAGAGTTCCCATTCTTTGTAATGTTTGTCATAATTTGTTAGGATCCACGCAGTTAATTGGCTGTGCGTAGTTTCTAAAACATAAATAAACTTCCTTCTGGTATTTTTCTGCCTTTAGCCAAGGTCCATCTGACTTCCGCAATAATAGCCCTTCTGTCCGTTTCTGAATTCAACTTGAATTTCTGGGTGTTTATTTGTAGATGTACTAATGCAACCATTTTTAAATGATCTTCAGTAAAATTTTACTTGTATGGGATATTAATGATACTGTTCACTAATTTCCTATTCTGTTGAATCACCTTTCTTGGTGGTGGTGGTGGTGTTATGTGCCGTGGAGTCAGTTCCAACTCATAGTGACCCTTTACAGGGTTTCTGAGGCTGTAAATCTTTACAGGAGCAGAAAGTCTCAGCTTTCTCCAGTGGAACACCTGGTAGTTTCGAACTGCTGATTTGAGGTTAGCGACCTGACTCGTAACCGCTATGCTACCAGAGCTCCTTCCACCTTTCTCAGGAGGTACAAATAATGGGTTTCTTTCAGTGAGTTGGCCATCTGCCTTCTACATTTCTTGGCATAGGTGAATGAGTACTTCCAATGTTGCCTCTGTTGGTAGAACCATCTCAGTTGCTCAGTTGGTATTCCATCAGCTCCAAGAGCCTTGTTTTCCCCCAGTGCTGTGTGGGTCCACTGTTGTTATTGTGTCTGCTGCCGAGTTGGTTCCGACTCACAGAGACCCTTTGTAACGTTTCCGAGAGTGACTGGTGGGTTTGAACTACCCACCTTGAAGTTATCAGTCCAGTGCTTATACTACAGTGCCACACATAGAACCCTTGTATATTACAACACTGACATTGTATTCTATCTTCAGTTCTTTCAGATTGAGAAATGCCAAACGTGTTTTTCCCTTTTGTAACTCCATGTCTTTGTACGTTTCATTTTACTATGATACTTTTTCTTCTTGAGCCACCCTTTGAAATCTTATTTTCATTCTTCATTTCTTCCATGTACTTTAGCCACTCTATATCAAGAGCAGTTTTCAGAGTCTCATTTGACATCCATTTTGGTCTCTTTCTTTCCTGTCTTTTTAGTGATCGTTTGCTTTCTTCATGTGTAATGTTTTTGATGTCAGTCCACAACCTGTCTGGTTGTTAGCCATTAGTGTTCAGGGTATCAAATAGCTTCTTGAGATGATCTCTAAATTCAGGTTGGTATTACTTATATTATGGCTCTGTGGACTTGTTATAATTTTCTTTAGCTTCAACCTCAACTTGCATATGAGCAATTGCTGGTCTGTTTGCAATTGATCTTAGCCTTGTTCTGACAGATAATCTTGAATTTCTCCAGCGTGTCTTACTACAGGTGTAGTTGATTTGATTCCTGATTATTCTATCTGGTGAGGCCCACATATGTCAACACCCATTTATGTTGTTGGAAAAAAGAAGTATTTGCAGGTATTTCTTGGTGCTCCGACTCATAGCGACCCTGTGCAGGGTTTCTGAGGCTGTAAATCTTTATGGGAGCAGAAAACAAAGTCATTGCTTTCTGATTTATATCCTGCAGTCTCCGGTGTCATTTCTATCACCAAAGCCTTATTTTCTAGCTATCAACCTTTGTTTATAACTTTCACATTCCTGTAGCTAGTATTTATCAATACATCTTGATTGCATATTTGCTCAGAAATGGGCAAACAATCTTTTATTTCTTCTTCTTTGGCAATTGTATGATGCACAAATTTGAATAATAGTTGTATTGACTGGTCTTCTTTGTAGGCCTATAGGGATTATCCTATTACTGTACTTTAGTAAATGTTGTTTTTGATAATAATTTATTATTCCTGATCCCGGAGTATATCTGATTGTTCAATTGGAAATGGCTAGTAACAGACCATCTCATTCAGCTCACTGATGTCTAGGATCTCTTTCTTTATGTCAACTTCAATTCTGAGAACAGCTCATTTTCCTAGATTAGGTGCTTGAACTTGTTTTTGCCCTAATCCTCTAATTCTCATTCTGAGTCATGCCACATCAGCAAATGAAGGTTTGGAAAGCTATACTTTCTTTACTTCTTTAAGATCAACTAAACCCTGAGGAGACAGCTCTTCTCCAGTCATATTTTGAGTGCCTCCCAACCTGAGAAGCTCATCTTCTAGTGCTGTATCAGACAGCTGTTGTTGTTGTTAAATGCCATCGAGTCGATTCTGACCCCTAGCGACCCTGTATAGAGTTTCCAAGGTGCAACTGGTGAGCTTGAACTACTGACCTTGCAGTTCAAATGACTTTGCAGTCTGACGCATTAGCCCACAGCCCCACACCGTGTTGTCTAATTGGTTCCAACTCATAGCAACCTTGTATAGGGTTTCTGAGGCGTGAAATCTTTTCAGGAGCAGGAAGTCTCATCCTGGAGTGACTAGTAGGCTTGAACCACAGACCTCGTGGTTTGCAGTCCAGTGCTTACTGTATGGAGCCACCATGCTCCATATGAGACAGTGGTGTGGTGGTGGGGGGTGGGGTGAGCAGTCCAATTCTGACTCATAGTGACTCATCGTTCTCTCCCAGAGCAACTGGTAGATTTGAACTACTGACCTTGTGGTTAGAAGCCCAGTTCATAATCTACTATGCTAACAGGGTTCCATATGAGACAGTGTTGCACTGTTATTTATAAAGTTTCCACATGCCAGTGTTTTCAGAAGCAGATCTTCAGGTCCTGTTCCTGAGTTTGTCTTAGACTGGAAGGGAAACTGCACTGAAACTGGTTACCAGGCTTCCCTGCTGGTATTTGAAATACTGGTGACTTAGGTTCTAGCATCACAGCCACACGAAAGCCACCACAGGATGACAGACTGACAGACAAGGACTGGTTGCTGTAGTGGTTCTCCATATGTGTTTGTTCACGTACAATGAGTGTATATTGAGCAGAATAGAATGCAGTGTAAATTCACGAGCATTAAAGATCCAAATTCCCTTATTCCAGTAAACAAGCTGGGCATCGTACCTTCAGCCACAGAAACCCTGGCTGCACAGCTGCCAGCTTTGTTATACTTTGAAATGGGAAATGGAGTGCAGTGAGGATACTTTGACCCCTTACTCTTTCATCTGCCGGTTTGGTTTTGGAGAGGGAAGGAGGGAGGTCTTAGTAATGCAGTATTAGTAACCAATAGGTGAGCAGCACTTAAGGGCCACATTTGAATATAAATATTCTAAGAACTGGCCTTAGCTCTGAGATTACTGTTTTTACACTTTTGATTATTTATTTATAAGATGGCTATGCATCTATTATTTAGAAAATCTATTCAGACCCTAAAGTCAAACAACATAAAATGTTTGATAGATGTTTAAAGTATGGTGCAATGTGGAATTAAGTTCTTTCCCCAAAAATAAACATTTTTCCAAGAGTCAGTGTCTGTCTTCCTAGATAAAGGCGAGACCTGTTTACAAGTTAAATGATTAACTGAAAGTCCTTCTATTTGTAAAACGTTTTAGCGATCTAAGTTGAGAATGATAATAATATAATTTGCTGTGTTGCCTTAGTATTACTAGTGGGAGATCATTCTTGATGGGAAATTTTAGAGAGAAATATATTGACTATATTATGCTTCAATTCAGGGGAGGTTGTAGCTTATTAGAACCTTAGTTAATAGTGTTGCCTTGGGATGCAGGCTGTATCCTAGTCGTTGTATGTAAGAGGATTTAGATAGCATTTTTATAATATTTGTTTGAAAAAGTTGCAAAGATTATATTGAGAGACTTATTTTCTTCTCTTTCAGGATCGAAGTAGAATGTATGACAGTTTGAATATGCACTCTTTGGAAAATTCCCTTATCGACATTATGAGAGCGGAGCATGATCCTCTGAAGGGTAGGTGACGTTTTCTTTAAAAACAAACTTAATTATCCACTTCTTTGCTTATAATCATTTTGTATACAGAAATGAGCATACAGTTAAATGCACAATTGCTAACCAAAAGGTTGGTGGTTCAAACACACTTACCAGCTCTATGGGAGGAAAATCTGGCCATCTGCTTCCATAAATATTACAGCCAAGAAAACTCTGTGGGGCAGTTCTACTCTGTCACATGGGGCTACAATGAGTTGGGGCAGATTTGACGGCAGTTAATAACAGCAAGGAAAAGGTCAAAATGGATGTGGAAGAGACACTGAAACTTGCTCTGCAACATAGAGATGCTAAAGTAAATGGAAGAAATGAAGAGGTACAAGAAGTGAACATAAAATCTCAAAGATCAGCTTGAGAAGATAAAGCCAAATATTACAACAAAATGTGCAAAGATCTGGAGTCAGAAAACCAAAAACGAAGAACACATTCAGCATTTCTTGAGCTGGGGAACTGAAGAAAAAATTCAAGTCTCGACTTTCGTTTTTGAAAGATTCTCTGGGCAAATTACTGAATGATGCAGAATGCATCAAGAGAAGATGGAAGGAATACACAGAGTCACTGTACCAAAAGGAAATGGTTAATGTTCAACCATTTCAAGAGCCAATGATACTCAGGGAGGAAGTCCAAAGTGCATTGAAGGAATTGGCAAAGAACAAGGCACCAGGAATTGATGGAATAAAAATTGAAATCTTTCAAGAAAGTGAGGTGGCACAGGAGGCACTCACTCATCTCTGCCAAGAAATTTGAAAGACAACTATCTGTCTGACTGATTGGAAGAGATCCATATTTGTGCCCATTCCGAAGAGAGGTGACCCTATGGAATGCGGAAATCATAGGACAATCTCGTTGTTATCCCATGTGAGTAAAGTTTTACTAAAGGTAATACAGAAACGGGTGCAAGCATATATTGACTGAGAACTTCCAGAGGTTCAAGCCAGATTCAGAAGAGGCCGTGGAACAAGGGATAGCATTGCTGATGTCCGGTGGATCTTGGCTGAAAGCAAAGAATATCAGGAAGATATTTACCTGTGCTTTATTGATTACGCAAAGACTTTCGATTGTGTGGATCATGACAAGCTATGGACAATATTGCGAAGTATGAGTATTCCAGAACACTTAATTGTGCTCTTGAGGAATCTGTACATGAACCATGAGGCAGTTGTTTGAACAGAGCATGGGAACACTGACTGTTTTAAAATTAAGAAAGGTGTGTGACAGGGTTGTATTCTTTCACCATACTTACTCAACTTGTATGCTGAGCAAATAATCTGAGAAATTGGGTTATATGAAGAAAAATGTGGTTTCAGGATTGGAGGAAGACTCAGTAACAACCTGTGATATGTAGATGATACAACCTTGCTTGCTGAAAGTGAAGAGGATTTAAAACATTTACTGATGCAGATCAAAGAGCACAGCCTTCAGTATGGATTACATCTCAATGTCAAGAAAACAAAAATCCTTACCACTGGACCAATAAACAACATTCTTATCAACGGAGAAAAGATTGAAGTCAAGAATTTCGTTCTTCTTGGATCAACTATCAACACTCACAGAAGCAGCAGTCAAGAAATCAAACAGTGTATTGCATTAGGCAAATCTGCTGTACAAGATCTTTTTAAAGTGTTGAAGAGCAAAGATGTCAGCTTGAGGACTAAAGTACGCCTGACCCAAGACATGGTGTTTTCAGTAATCTCATATGCATGTGAAAGTTGGACAGTAAATAAGGAAGACCGTAGAAGAATTAATGCTTTTGAGTTATGGTGTTGGAGGAGAATACTGAAAGTTCCATGGGCTGCCCATAGAACCAAGAGATCTGTGTTGGAAGAAGTGCAGCAAGAGTGTTCCTTGGAGGCCAAGATGGTCAAACTTTACCTCTCATACTTCAGACATATTGTCAGGAGGGACCAGTCTCTGTTGAAAGGGTATCATGTGTGGTTAGGTGGAGGGTCAGAGAAAAAGAGGAAGACCCCCCAGTGAGATGGATTGGCCAAGTGGCAGCATCAATGGGCTCAAGTGTGGCAACAGTAGTGAAGTTGGCCCAGGATCCGGGTAGTGTTTCATTCTGCTGTGCATAGGGTCATTATGAGTCGGCACTAACTTGATGTCACCTAATGACAACAACAAGAAGAAAATAACAGCAAGGTGACATCTAGAATCTATTATAAATATATTAATACAGTTCATTGTTTTTGTGAAATGTACTTTTTTCGTTGTAGCTTAGACTTAAGCCATCTTATACAGAGAAACATGTAAACCCATTCTCTTGACTGGTTGCATACATAAATTGAGAAAATATGAAGTATCTTTAGAGGTCATACCGAACAGTGCACTACTGGATGAAGGCTAGATCTGAAAGGGTATATTATAGTCACTTTTCTAGGATTCTGTGAAATACAAAACTATACAAAAAAATTCTTGGAAAACTTAACATTCACAATTTTCAGTGATGAAAACTTAGAATCAGTCTAGGGTAACTTCCTGCCCTGTTTTTCTTGTAGTAACTTAGGCTTTAAAATAGGAATATATTATAGAGCTGTGACGAGATGAAGAATTCTTCTTAAAAACTGAGCAAATTCAAGGGGAAATCAGCCTACTGATCTGACAGTATCAGGGTTCAGTAGTTGACTCATATTCCCTGCAAATTAAGTATCAACGTGGACAGAGCGTGAATCTCAGTGTTGTGTCATTATCCTCCATCATGTGTGAGCTGATGTAATTACCCTGTGTGTTGTAACTGGTAACTTCTGTAATGTTAAAGAGGCAGGGTGTTTGGCAGGTATGTTATTGAGGCAGCTTGCAATCTTGAGAAATAGCTTTGAGATTTCAGAGATTTGAAAGGTAAGCAAAGATCAGAGGCACCTCCTACCACCGAAAAACAAGAGCTTGGATCGGAGTGCCTCTAGTGGACCTGGGGTCCCTGTGCTGAGAAAACTTACAGAGCCCGGTGGAGATCCATGCAAGGACATTCCCCTGGATCCATGAGAGAGCCTGCTCTGTGAATGCAGACCTCTAGCCTTGTGTACTGACTTTCATGGGTAGCTGGGGAGCACTTAACTATCGTGCCTCCTGTGGCTCCTCATGATGATACAGCATTTCCTTTTTCATAAAGGTTTCTTTTTCCTGGAGTTATTCATAATCATTTTTGGTTTGCTTGTTTAGTTTTAAAAATATTTATCAATGAATTCACCCTAAAATGTATTAATGTATTAATAGAACTGCAACGCTTCTTTCAATACATGTAAACTCATTAAAGAATGACCTAAATTGTTATTGCCTGCCCTGAGAAGGACCCTTCTGGTAGCATGCCAAGGCTGTGAATTTGAGACTTCTTGTTTACCATAATCCTTGGAATTCCCTTGACCTGTGGAATCAATGTTCTGAGTCCACGTCCTTTCCTCAGTGGTTACAACCCATTGTTTCATTGGGCCTGTCTAAAAGTACTTTCCTATGAAAAGGACATATGTTTTGACCACTTCTATGTCTTAAAACATTTCTATTTTACTTATATAAGATAATAGGAATCCTGGTGGCATAGTGGGTTTTGCATTGGACTGCTAACTGCAAATCAGCAGTTCGAATCTTCCAGCTGCTCCAAGGGAGACAGATGAGGCTTTCTGATCCTATAAAGATTTATAGCTTCAGCAATCCTATACAGGGTAGCTGTCAGTCAGAGCCTAATGGACAGCACTCAGCCGTCACCACCATATAAGGTGATATACTGAACTGAAATTATTCAGAGGCTTCAGAAAGTTCATGGAAAAAGTCCATTGTCTTTGAATTCCATTTCCACAAACTTTTGAAGCCTCCTCATGTATTAGAAATTTAGTTTAGAATTCTTTCATCTTTTATCAGTTGTACACCACACAGGCTTAGGAGTCAGTATTTTCAGCGACTTTTGGTTTACAGTTAACTCAAAACTGTGCCATGAAACAACTTTGTTTTTGTTTACCTTATATCAGTGTCCAGCGTTGTTGTTGTTGTGTGCCGTGGAGTCAGTTCCGACTCATAGCAACCCTGTACAGGGTTTCTGAGGCTGTAAATCTTCATGGGAGCAGAAAGCCTCATCTTTCTCCCACAGAACAGCTGGTAATTTCGAACTATTGACCTTGCAGTTCGCAGCCCGATTCATAACCACTACGCTACCAGAGCTCCTTAGTGTCTATCATTGTTGTTGTTGTTATGTGCCGTGGAGTCGGAACCGACTCATAGCGACCCTGTACAGGGTTTCCGAGGGTGTAAATCTTTACGGGAGTAGAAAGCCTCATCTTTCTCCCGCGGAGCAGCTGGTAGTTTCGAACTGCTGACTTTGCAGTTCACAGCCCGAGTCGTAACCACTACGCTACCAGTGTCTATCATAGTGCAAGAAAAAAAGAGGGACTCCATATATGTCCTATATGATTGTTTGAATGATCATGTAACACTAGTACCTAGGATCCACCACTCAGCTCTCAGTTTGTCATACTGTGGTGATTTGCATAGTGCTGGGATTCTGAAAGCTATGCCACCAGTATTTTAAATACCAGCAGGGTCATCCATGGTGGACAGGTTTTAGCTTAGCTTCCATACGAAGACAGACAAGGAAGAAAGAGATTACTTCCAAATGTTTAGTCTGTGAAAACCTTATGAATAACAGTGGAACAAAGGCAGATAACACCAGAATATTGACTATTGAAACATGACGAAGAGCATTACAATATTATCAGATATGGTGTGGAAGATGAGCCCCTTAGGTTGGAAGGCACTCAAAATATGACTGGGGAAGAGCTGTCTCCTCAGAGTAGAGTTGACCACAATGACACGAATGGAATAAAGCCCTCAGGACCTTCATTTACAGATAGGGCACAATTCAAAATGAGGATAAACAGCTGTAAACATCCATTAATAATCGGAACATGGAACGTACAAAGTATAAAAGGGGAAATGGTCAAAACTGATATGGAGCACATAAAGATTGATATTCTAGA